AATGGCTCAGCAGTTAAGAGCCTTTACTGCCTGCTCTTCCAAAGGATATAAGTTGGGTTTCTAAGACCCATATGGCTATCCTGTAACTCCAATTACACAGGATATAACACCCTCTTCTGGTCTCATGGGCCACCATACACATGTGGTACACATATGTAACATGGAGGCAAAACACCCATACACATAAAATAAAATCAATCTAAAAAAAAAATACATATCCATAAAATAAAGGTCTTTAGAATAGAAGCATTGAGCCTAAAATTTAAAGACAAAAAGGAAAAGTTCCAAAGAGGAAAAGACTACTTGTACTCAATACTACTGGCAATTTCCCCCAAAATCTGATGTAGTATATATGCAAAGCTAGAAAAATATCCTGGATTTATGAAATCTGAGCTTTTATTTACGTGTTGTTTTACTTATTTATCTTTTAAGACAGGGTGCATTATATAGCTCTGGCTAGCCTGAAACTTGCTATTTTACTACCTCAAAATTAATAGCAATCTTCCTGCCTCTGCCTCCAGAGTGGTGGAATTAAAGGCATGTGCCACCACAGTATCAGGAACTGTAATACACTCCACATGGAAATGAAAGTTGTGATCATAAAGATACAACTAATACACAACATGCATTAACCATAAGCTTTATAACTGAAATTTCCCAAACAAGCTCCTTTCATACTAAGAAAATGGTTTTCATTTCAAAACAATAAAGTATAAATGGCTATGAATTAGACTCACAACTTACCCCTAAGGAATCTGCCTTATGCTTAGAAACTCATTTTCTCTTTATTAAAGCAGTATGGGAAAAAGATTGCCACATAAACGACAAGGAACAAGATTCACATAAGGACAACATAAATATATGATTCAGGAATGTGACTAATTACCTCAGTTATTATTCTGGTGAAAAGTACCCAGAAAAAGAAGCATATAGGAAATATAGTAAAGAAAATGAAGACGCAGGCAATGGCCTCTGTTTCAACCCCCACCTATAAAACTACAGAAATTGACAGGATCAACGCCTGATCTTGTCTTTCCTTAAAGGAAAAATTAAAAATCCCAGAAAAAGCAGCTCATAAACTATTTAGTTCATTCTAATGCCTAACCCAAACACATAAGCCTAGATTCAAATATATGTGTCATGCTTTAAGAACCAAAAGTGCATACTGAAAACAGAAAACAGACATGCAGTGGTGGCATACACCTTTAATCTGAACTCTCAAGAGGCAGAAGCAGGCATATCTCTGAGTTCCCGGCCAGCCTGGTCTACAGACTCCGTTCCAGGACAGCCAGAGCTACCTATCTCAACACACACACACACACACACACACACACACACACACACAAGAAAAGGCTTTCTTGTTTTAAAGTATTTAAATGGCAAACCACGGTCACATTCAAAACAGAGCTAACAGTAATTAAACACTGTGCCAGTCTATACTTGAGACACTGAATTTGAAAATTAAAATACCTTTAAAACTAAACAATCTAAATGGCGAAATATTCGTTTTACGATTTCTGCTTGTTGACTACACAATAAAGAAAAATAATTTCAGTTCTTACTAATATCCATAGTATTAGAGTGGTAGATGGGCTCTCTCTAAAAGATTGGACTTTTAAGGAACTCTCAACTGCCTCTCTATTTTAAATAAATCTGTTTATCTGTACACAAACATCCACTAACTCCTCCCTGGTTCAAAAGAATTTGACTTTTTATTCTAAAGAATATGTCGTGTGTTTAGAAGAGACGTTTAAAACTCTTTCTGCTAAGTGCTGACGTTTTTAAAAATAACTACAACTTCCTATGCATTCGACTTTTTTGCCTCTTATCTGTTAATAGGGCTTTCTCCCCTGTCCTGCAGCTACGTCTGGGTTCCTAGGTCACGCCTAGATCCTTCACCCTTGTTGAGTCCCACGCGGTTTTCCCAATTTCCGCGCAGAGTGGCACCTGAGGACCGAGCGCAACCCCCCTGCGGCTGGCGCTCCCTAGGCGCTGTCACTCGGGACCAGGCGTGGGCCAGAACCCGGGCGAATCCGACGGCGTGTAGGTAAGAGAATCAAAGGCCCCTGGGTGAGCCCGGGCAAGCGGGGAGTGCAGCTGTCGATGAGCCGGAAGCTCAACGCGGGCGCTGCGCCGGTAACAGGCAAAGCAGGAAAGAAAGGGGCTCACTGCGGCGGGCGGCCCTAACCCCGCGTAAGCGACACCCCGCGCAGAACACTCGCCCGGGCCTGCAGGACGAGCGGCAGACAGCGGAGCAGCCACCGCCTCGGCCCGGCCCAGCGGGGACCCGCCCAGGGGCCACTCCCCAAGGGAGGCAGCCAGTCACTCGCCCGCCCCGCCGGGCCCGCTCCTGAGGGGACGGACTCCCGCCCGCCCTCACATTGCGCCTCACGCCAGGCCCCCAGGGTTTCGGGTACCTCTCACCTTTGACGACGCGGTCGGCCCCGAGAGGGGGCGGCGGGGGCGGGGGAGGAGGCGGCGCGGCCCGGGCCGGCTCCGGGGCGGCCATGCTGGGCCCGGGGCTCGGCTAGGTGCCGGGCCGGGCGGGGTTGGGGGCGGGGGCGGCGGCTACCAGAGCCAAGCGGCGGCGCCGCCGGGGAACATGGCGGACCCTCTTTCCCTTCAGAGGGGCTAAGACCGTCATGCACCGCGCGTGCGGGGGCGGGGGCGGGACAAGCTCCAGGGACTTGAGCAAAATTACCGAAGCTACTACAGAAACAGGAACAGTCCAAGGGATCAGGTAAAAATTCCTTACATGCAGAAAAACAAGCAAGTAAAGAGAGGGTGCAGACTAGACTTAGGGGCTGTTGATGACTGCAAGGAAAAAATGAAATTTTTCTAGCTGCTTTGGAGCCCAGGAAAATAAAGAGATGTAATTTGATCTCAGATTTTCCCACTATTAGACAAATATATGACAATTTATCTACAAAATCTGAGTGATAATAGTATGACTAGAGACAAAAATGAAAGAAACATTTGAGACTGTAAAGAGTGGTATTATATATTTAAAATGGAATTTGTCCTTTAATGCCAGACCTCGGGAGGCAGAACTCTGTGAGTTCAAGTCTAGCCAGGTCTAACCACTCAGGGCAACAAAATGAGACTGCCTCAACAAAACAGGAGGAGGTTGCATAGAATTCTAACCCTTGCTTTAAGAGTTTGTTAGAGTCCAAAGGCACATAAATTCAGCTGAAAAAGTCTAAGCACCACGATTTAAGAACCAAAATGAGTCAAGGGAAGTAGGGAATGATACCGAGAAATACTCAGAGAACCTGTAAGATTTACTTGGAGAGGCCATAGCCTCTTAATTCACTGAGCAAATAAATTTGAAGCCAGACAGTTCAATGGATAAAGGTACTTGCAGTCAAGGATGGTGACCTAAGTTCCTTAGGACAAACCCACATGGTGGAAGGAGTCAATGGAAAGAAAGAATAGATTTCTTCTAGTCTGACCTCTACTAAAACTTATAAATAAATAAATAAATGTAATAAGAAATGGAAAGCAGAGACTAAGTAGGTAGAAAATTGGAAATTAGTTCCTTATCTTTGTATATACACAGAATTTGGGTTTGGGCAACTTACAGAAACAGATCCAAGTTGACCAGCATCCATGAGGTCAATAAGAACAGATTGTCCCATCAATAACTATTAGTTACTGCAAGACAGCTCAAATAGTAAAGGCATATGCCACCAAACCCAGTGATGGAACCAGAGGGCACACAAAGTGGAGAAAGAGGACTGACTGCTTACAACTTACTCCAGCCTTCATGTGTCCTCCTCATACATATGCATAGTCACTGCAATTCTTAGAAAAGGCTAGAAGAGTGTGTATGACACGAGCGGTGTTCAAAGGCTCAGGGGCCAACATATCTACTAAGAACCATGTGTGTATACATGTTCTAGCATCCAAATAGGATGAAACAAGAAAGTCTTCTGTATCCAATTACTCAATAACTAACACATGTGCTCAGAATCTGTCCACAATGATTAGGAAGGCAGAGCAACAACATTCTCAGCATCTGTTGTTTCTTTGTGTTCATCGATGAGACCAAGATCTGGAATAAAGGAGGGAAAACCCAACAGGCATTCTTTGCAAAGGGGACTTACAAAATTCTTTTTTCTTTTTTAATTTATTTATTTTATGTATATGAGTACACTGTAGCTGTCTTCAGACACACCAGAAGAGGGTATCAGATCCCATTACAGACAGTTGTGAGGTACCATGTGGTTGCTGGGAATTGAACTCAGGACCTCTGGAAGAGCAGTCAGTGCTCTTAACCACTGAGCCATCTCTCTAGCTCCAAATTATTATTTTCTTTCGTGTGTTTATGTGTTTTGCCTGCATGAATGTCAGTGTACCATATGTGTTCAGTCCCCATGGAGGACAGAAGAGTGAGTTATATTCCCTGGAACTAGAGCTACCAAAAGTTGTGAACCACCATGTGATGCTGAAAACTGAACCCAGGTCCAGTGAATGAACAGCCTGTTCTGTTAACCATGGAATCATCTCTGCAGCCACTAAAAAATACTTTTTAAAGGAAAGAGACTTTTGGGAGTGTGTCATGGGTGAAGATAGATCTCATTATCACAGAGATATTCTGACTCTTAAGGGGAAAGGAAAGGGAGTGGGGCCATAAGAAGAGAGCAAGGGATAGGAGGCACATCACACACCTGTAATACAGAGCGGAAAGGCACCGAGACTGGTACTATACTGGAGTGACACGGTCGAAGTGGTTTGAATGCCCAGAAAACAAGGGGAGGAATGGAGTATGTAATGTACTGAGTGTCCCAGGCAGGAGAGGGATAGTTAACATGCTAGCAGCCATAACAAAAGGGAAAGACTCTTATTTAAGGATGTGTTGACTTCAACAGTGAGTATATATTTTTAAACTCCTCTTTGGCTATTCACTTTCACTTGGTCAAAGACATTTCATATAAATGTCGAAGCCTCCCCACCCCAGAAGAAAAGGGCAAGAACATACAAAAGCGAAGAACAAGAGATTAAATACAACTATCTTATAGATTTATTAATGAAAAATACTTTACAAAAACAGTATGCTTTGCCCTAAAATAGTTTAGCTGACTCTTGACAGTTTACAACGGTGACTGAGCAAGTGGCAGTAATGGCTCTGCTGCTGAGGACAGGAGGGTGTGTTAGTGTGCCCAACTCCATCTCTTCAGAAGAGCAAATACTATATTGGCAGCTCCACATTCTAGGCCTAAAGTCTGAGTCACAAGGAAGGCTGACAGGCCATAATACCTGGGCAGCTGGGCTTCCCTTAAGGACGTGATCAGAATACTGACTACAGGGATAGATACCCCTCTCCATTGATAGGGGATAGGGAAGTTAGGTAATATGGACAGGTGGATAAACAAAGAGTATAAGTTGGGAATATAGGACCAGAAGACGAGGGCTCTGATGGAGATGGGGGCTTAAAGTAACCAGAAATAAAGTAGCCCAGACTAGCCTAGAACTTGCTATGTAGCCAAGAAGGAACCTGAACTTCTGATGCTCCTCCCTCCATCTCCCAAGTGCTAGGATGACAGTTGTGCACCATCATACCCAGTTTCACACACTGCTAAGGATATAACCATGGGTTATGTGCATGTTAGGAAAACACTCTGCCAATTGAGCTACATCCCCAACTCTAAAGCTGGAATTTCAAATATTCCCTTTCAAAGAAGCAAACATCTTTAGGAAAAATCAATGTCTTTTTTTTGTTGTGATGGTTCCGTTCTTCTAAAAACAAACAAACAAAATCCACGGTCTCTTTTTACCCCAGAGTCTCTGGCCTTGAAATGCTAATTCTCCAGCCTCTACCTCCCAACTGCTGGGATTAACAGGCATATGATGCCTGGACTGAAATGGCCAAGTCTGTGTTGAGATGAGACCAGCATAACTGGCAGGATGCCAAGTATCACTGTGCCACCGTACAATTCTATAAAGGTGTGGCTCCAGGAGAGGTTAGGATAAGCTTTACCACCTGCTGTGCTGTAAAAATTTCACCCTGTTCTGCTCTCTGCCAGTGGAATTTGGTAGAACGAACATAATTCTTTCCTCTCCTGTCCTCCTATGTCTATACTGGGAGGGATAACTGCTCTGTCTCCAGTCATCATCTGGGGGCATATCTATTCTTCGAGGACCAGGTGTCCGGGAGCCTAGAACAGGACCTGAATTCCAAACTGATCTAAGGGGTACATGAAGATTATTGGATGGTGGGGACTCTGGGTGAACAGCAGAAGGATGGGAGGGTGAGTGGAAAAGATTCCCCCAGGACTGAGCATGAGGAACCTGAAGGCCCTGATGTCTTTCTGGTAGTGTGGCAGTGTAGGTTAGCTGAGGCTTGCATGCTGGCGTAGTTAGGACTCTGGCCCCAATGTGCTGGTTGGTCTCTGACCCTGGTCCCCAGGAAGCATCAGTTCTGGAACGATGAGGTAGACTTCGGTAGTTCAAAGTCCTTCCTGTGTACTTGACCCCTTGGGGAGTTTCATCCCTGTCACACATAGCCAGAAACTGTTGGACACTCCTCGAAGTTCCTGAGAAGAGAAAAGAAACCCAAAGACTGAACATCTTTAGAAAATAAATCTCCTTCCCAAAGGACTATTCCTGGCTATTTTGCCCAACCCTTTACTCCTCCAAGAATACATACAGAAAGGGGAAAAAAAACAAACCTAGGTTTAAAATATATATATGTGTGTGTGTGTGTGTGTGTGTGTGTGTGTGTGTGTGTGTGTGTGTATGTATGTATGTTGTTGTTTTTTTAATTTTTTTCCCCAGTACTGGGAATTGAACCAGGGACTGTGCATGCTAGGCAAACACTCTACCATTAAGCTATACCCTTAACCCTAACAACTCCTAAATATTATGTCAAAATCAATCTCTTCTATTTTAGGGGAAATGCAACAGTCTCTTGGATATTGCCATAACTACTTCCAGTACAATCTTTCTCTAACTCACACACTCTCGTACACACATGTACAAATATATTTACAATTTCCCTTGCAAACTCCTATAAAAATTACACTAAAATCTCACTTGGCTTTTCATTTTTAAGATTTATATTTTATTCATGGGGGTGGGGCAGTTTGAGACAGGGTTTCTCTGTGTAGTCTTTGCTGTCCTGGAATTTTCTTTGTAGACCAGGCTGGCCTCTAACTCACAGAGATCTGCCTGCCTCTGCCTTCTGAGTGCTGGGATTAAAGATGTGGACCACCTTTGCTTGGATTGTTTTTCTTTAGATTGTTTGGCCCCTCTCTCTCTGTGCCTCTGTCTCTGTCTCAGTCTCCCTCCCCCCCACCTTTTTGTCTTTTGTGAGACAGGTTTCTCTGTGTAGCTCTGGCTGTCCTGTAACTTAGTTTGTAGACCAGGCTGCCTCCAGCTGCCTCTGTCTTCCAGGTGCTGGGATTAAAGACATGCACCACCACTGCCCAGCAACTTGGCTTATCGTAACACAGTACCTTGACTGCTGTTAGATGGCCTCTAAATCCTTGTTCAATTCCTGAGATCTCTGCTTTTGTTAATAGCACACTTCTCTTATACACAATACAGAATGTCTTTGTCTATACATTTCTTTCACTATGATACTTGTGACATGGTAAGTTGATAATTCTTTATTGAGGATAAAAGAGACTGCCCTGTGCACTATACGATGTTCCAAAGAGTCTTTGCCCAACATCCATTAAATACCAAGTAGTATGTCTCTTTCTCCATTGAGAACCAGAGACTTAAAATGTAAGTTAAACCCATAAGGAGTAAAAAAAAAAGAAAGAAAGAAAGAAATCTTAGATGGAGGTCAACAAAAGCCAGAAGGGTGCTGCCATCTTCCTGCGGACTGTCTGGGTCTATATATATGACATGTGTTTTCAAGGTACAGTGTCTTCCCAGTCTTTCATTCACTTCTGTCCTCCTACATCATCCCTCAGCTGAAACTTAATAAACAACAGGGGAGAAAAGTAGCTAAAAGAGATGACACTTTCAGTTTGGGGAATTCAGAAAAGTAGTTATTCACTACACTTTATCACTTCAAAGCTTTTTCCTTCATGACTGAAACAGGTTGGTTCACACTCATGAGTGAAGCAAGGTATCTAAAAAATTATTCAGTCATACTTCATGGAGATCAGTGCTTGATCGTCGTAAAACAGTAATTCATGTCTTTTATTCCATCCCACCTTGGGACACCCAACTTTCCCAGATGGTATACTGATTTGACCCCGAAAAAGAATCACATTTTAGCAGATAATATTAGTTTGGGGAGTGTTACCTGGGGGTCTATAGGGCTCCCCTGCCATGCTGGGCATCAGGACATCTGGGGACAGGAACTGTGGTTGGGGAGGGTAGAGTTTAGGATCAAGGAGAAATACAGGAGGATCATGGATGACAGGGAGGGAAGAGGAGCTGGAACAATGGTGCCCGGTTTCCAAAGTCTTTTTCCTCACGTTTGATGAATCCTTATAATGAGACAAGACAAAAAAAACATAAAGATGAGGGTTAACATGGCAGGATGTGGTTGGATAAACACAGTGAGGCAAGCAGGAGGAAAGGGAAGGAACCAGAATACAACACACCTTTTCCAGAGGGGCTCACATCACTGCACATATTACCTGATGGCCTTCCTAGAAAACTCCTAAGACCCTCTCCTTCTACCACTTTCCTCACAACTTCTACCTTCCTAGATCCACCATTTGGGGCTTTAGCAAACACTTTAATGCTAACTCTACAATTAAGGAGATTGAAACAGAAACTTAGAAATAGGAGCTGAGAGCTGAGCATGTTGATATATGCACACCTAAAATCAATGCTGCTCAGGAGACTGAGCAGGACTGCTTTGAGTTTAAAGCTAGTTTGACCTACATAGTGAGTTCAAAGCCAGTCTGGGCTACACAAGCAATAGTATATCTCAAAAAAAGAAAAAAAGGGGGGGGGGAAGAAACCACAAGCGTAAGCCAAATAGGGGTTGTGGATTTCATTCAATTGTAGAGTAGGCCCTGGGTTCAATTCCCCCTCACCCCCCCAAAAAAAAGGGAGACAGAGGACAGGAAAGGAGACAGGAAGAGGTGCAGGTAGGTATTCAAGCATATGAAGAAGCTGAAGAAAATCTATGCTGGGCACTAAAGTATCTGCTGAACTACAGAACTGGACTCTGCTCTGCCCGGTCACCACTGAAACCCACAGCCGCCTCTTCTCAAGATCTCATTCCTACTCCCAGCTGCTTTTGTTCTGCCATGGCTCCACTCACTTTTGTGGTAAAAACCCAGAAATATTTCATTTATTACCAAAAAAATTGAAACATTCAAAATTGAATAAAGTTTTCCAAACTCTTCCTCCTAATACTACCACATTTTTCTAAGTTACTTAGACATAAATACTGGTTTTGCTCTTAACTTCCTATTTCCCATTCGCCATGGTCACAGAGACAGTTCTACATATGGATTTCATATTTAAATTTGCCTGGACCATTGCAGAAGCCTTAATCTGATCTTCCCATCTACTGCTACTTGCTTAGTTGTATCATAAGGTCCCATGTGATAGCGTAGCTGATCTTTCTCACTTAATCCTGTATTGTCTCTGTGTTCTTTACACACACTCTTTTTCTTATTTGCTTATTATTATTATAATTATTACTTTGGAGGCAGCATATTGTTATGTAACCCAGGCTAGCTCAAACTTAAAATACTCCAGCCTGGAAAGATGGTTTATGGGACTGGAGATGGTTCAATGATTAGGAGCACTGGCTGCTCTTCAAAAAGACCTGAGTTCAATTCCCAGAGCCCACATGGCAGTTCACAGCCGTCTGTAACTCCAGGATCTAATTTTGTTTGTTTTTGTCTTATTCTTTTGAGACAGTATTTCTCTGTGTAACCCTGGCTATCCTGGAACTACTCTGTAGACCAGGCTGGCCTCAAACTCACAGATCCACCTGCCTCTGCCTCTGCCTCTCTGCCTCTCTGTGCCTCTCTCTGCCTCTCTCTGCCCCTCTCTTCCTCTCTCTGCCCCTCTCTGCTCCCCTCCCCGCCCCTGCCCCTGCCCCTGCCTCTGGATTGCTGGGATTCACGGTGTGCGCTGCTACTACTACCCAGCCACTAAAAAGGTTTCAAAACAAAAACCCTCCAACCTCAACCTCACAAGTATAAATAGTACAGATAAGCATCATCTCATCTAGTCTTTCTTAATGTTTCTCAAACACACCAACTCATCCTATCTCAGGGCTTTACACTTGCTTTTCTGTTACCAGGAATACTGTGTCATGGCCCTAAACTTCCTATCACTGGAATTTGTGATGAAATGTTAATTCCTCTCACTACCTCTTACTGTCCTAACCAAATGCAGCCCTAAGGAAATACATCACCTCTTTCACTTCTTATTCCCTTAGCTTACTTTATTCTTCATTATCATAATTATTGCTGTCTTGGGTTATATCATTTATTGATGATTATCTTTCTTCCTGTAGAAGACATTTCAGCATCCCTAACATCTGAAACAATGTAAGTACTTAGTGACTAATACATTAATCTATATGCCGATCTAGTTAGTTTCATTTAATAGCCTGCAAGCTATTCAAGGGCAGAATTTGTGTTATGCCATCAGCTATGTTCATATTTTTAGGGAAGTGCTTGAAAGAGAAAGGATTTCTAGTGGAATGACACTACTGCATTCCCTTTGAGCTCCTGCCACCTTTTCTGTATTGTTTTAAGCCTCTTCTTCCTGACTCTCCAATATATTTACTTCTCTCTATGCTCTCAAACTCCTATGTGACCTACAGAATCCTCTGTAATCCATGATCTGACTCCTGCTTATAGTCCTTCCTATCATTGTCAACACTGCTATGGTTTCTCTTCATCAGACTTTCTAGTCTTGTCAAACCAATTATTCTCTTTGAATCCAGTGAACACGTGCTTCAGTTCCATGTGCCTTTTCCCTGGTACTCCACTTCTTCTAGGATGGTCTCATAGCAGCTAGTATTTAAACACATTATAAAACTGTTTGTGTGTTTATCTATCCCTATAGCAGGGACAGATAAATGTTCCATGAAACCAGAGACTGGATCACTCATTCAGCACAGTATCCCCAGAGTCAGACATGGCATCAAGTATATAAGTTCAATAAGCACTGTTTGAAAAGGATAATTAAATCAATAAATAATGGCATGATATACTAGACAGAGATACAACTCTCTTTGGAAAATAACATTCCAATTTAAATTGGAAATATTTGAGAACAAATGCTATGCCAGGGAAACTACCTTTTCCCAAAGAAGAAGAGGAGGAGGAGAAGAAGATAAGGAGGAAGAAAAGGAAGAGTAGAAACAGGAGAAAGAAGAAAAGAAGAAGGAAGAGGAAATGTTCATTTTGGAACTTACACTCAGTAACCCTAGAGTTCTTTTTTGGGGGGGGGAATTGGATGGAGAATATATATATATATCCTATTGAACCTTTTAATTGTACCATGTATTTATAACCCATTTTAAGGGGTTTAGTGTATATAGTTAGGTGACAGAAGGGTTGCCCAGCATGTGAGGTCCTGGTTCAGTCCTGGTACTGCAAATAAAAAGTAATCTTGGTATAGTGGTACATGCCTCTCATCCTAGCACTCTAGAGGCAGAGGTTGGCAGTTCTCTGTGGAGTCCAACCTGGTCTACATAGTGAGTTCTACTAGGCAGAGTACATGAGACCCTGTAAACAATAAAAACAACAATAATAAAGCAAACAAAATAAAACCTGTTTTTACATTTTTATCCAACTAATCTTGTAGACAAGCTTCAAAGCAGGATGCTTTGTATTCTAACCTTTATAGTAATGAAAATTCAACTTGTTTTAGAAAAGTATATAAAATTCTCAGGAGAGTAGACTACCTATAAACCTAGCCAACAATATAGTATTTGAGTCTGTTGATTGAGCTCCACTCCTTGGGTGTAATAGTGACAGTAATCTCCAAAGATTGAAGGTAAAGACAGGATAGCACCATAAATTCAAGGCCAGCATGGTCTACAGAGTGAATCAGAAAGCTGCCAGGGATATGTACATAGTAAAACCTTGTCTCAGAAGAAAACAAATCACAGAAATAAAATAAAAAGTCTCAAAAAGGAGTGTTTTTAACCATTTTTCTTTTTTAGTTCATGCGTTTTACTCTTGCTTGGAAACTTCCTGGAATGCACTCAGCTGTGCACTGAGCTGGAGAGAAGGTGAGACAGCACTTCTCATCTTCCTCCTTCCTTCTACGAGCACAGCAAGTCTCACCCAATCAACAGCTTTTGCTTCTCAGATTTTCTCAAGGCTTCCATTAACTCTTGTTATAGTTTGAATATAAAGTTTCCTCTCACAATGCTGACATTTTGAAAACCTGGTCAATCACTGTAGATCCAATCACTAAGCAGTGACTGATCGTCAGTGTGCTGGCTTCATTGGAGGTTCATTCATTCATGAACACATTAGTAACTACTAAGAGGTCTGTAACTGGTGACAATAAATCATACAAACTGTGCCTTTGAAAGGTATGCTGCCCTGTACCCTGGCTGCCACTGTTGCTCTGTTTCATGGCTGCCCTGGGGCAAGCAACTTGCTTTCAAACACGCAGACATGCACAGCCAGATGCAAAACATCAGACTTGTGGTTTTCCCCCAGCCCCTGTGCTCAGAGATATGGGAAACTGGTTACAAGTCACAATTAACAAGTTAAGTTCAATCGCAAAGGCAGTCGGCCAGTCACCAGGTGATAGCCTCCTCTGCCTCCAGCTCTCACCCTCCTCGAAGCCTCACACTACCATGTTCTGTCAACCCAGCACCATTTCCCTAGCCTCTTTGTATGCCTTCCTCTCTAGGACACCACCTAAGTCCAGCACCTTAGCACTAGAAACTGATACCTGAGAGACAGGCACTGTGCTCGGTTCATAAAGAACATGCTCCATTTCTGCTGTTGAAGTCTTTGAGAGATCAAGACCAGGGGCTGAGTGCAGTCTCCTCCCCATGCCATCTGCAGAGCCTAAGGAGGAAAAGATAAAGACATGCTGAAGCTGTCTCTCCTCTAGAATCTAAGCCTGGAAGAACAAACATGGAGTTCTCTCATTAAGTAATTAATATGCATCTCTGAATTCAGTGGAGAAGCATGTTCCTTCAATCTATAAACACCAAATTTCAGAATATGAATAAATTCCTATAGGCCACAAAAATCAAAACTACTTAAGACATTTCCAGGAAAGGAGCTGTAAGGACAGTCAGCTGAATATCATCATCCATCAACATTTCTTTTTCATTAATAAAATAAACTTTGTTTTCAGAATTAGCCCCAATATTTATAATCCATAAGGAAACTATCTGACACAGTGATCTTCTCTATCATAGTGTGGTAAGAATGGGAATGATATCTCTAGTTTAGTTCAGAATTTAAATGATCATAGTTATCATAAATCAAACCTTTGATGTAATAGGGAAATGAGTTCCAGAGTCTTGATTGAGATGGTGTGTTAACCAGAATTGAAACTCAAGTCTTTCAATGTTAAGCACAGTATTTTCTTAGCTTCTGATGCCCTCCCACTCTCTCTCTCTCTCTGAGCAGGATCACTTCAGGAATATTGACATGTGTAATATTCTGTTATTTCCACTTACTCCTAGCTTTTCTCAAACACTTAAATTATAATCAACCATCAATACTACTTTAAACTGGATATGTGAAACCCCCCCCAGGGTTATCCCCAATCCAACTAATTATGTCTTGTGAAAATGTACCTGCCCTTGACCTAAATTTGGTATGTATGTATGTATGTATGTATGTACGTATGTATATGTATGTGTATTATGTGTGTGTGTATGTATGTAAGTATGTATGTATGTATATGCATGTCTGGATATGATACTTTGATATATGTACCTCACACACACACACACATACACACAGAGCACTTAAGTATACTGTTGATCTCAGTACTTAGACAAGTTAAACATTTCCTGTTACTGAATGCATTGGTTCTCATAATAGTACTGATTCAGCTGAGAGCTTGAAAAATTATATCTATATAGTTTAGTTGTATAACACTTGACTAACATACATGTAGCATTGAGGGTTCAATCCTCAGTGGGTAGAAAGGGGGAATAGACATGCAAACATGTAAAACCAACTTCTTGAGCCACACCTTAGTGTATGTTTGTTTTGTTTTTTTGAGACAGGGTTTCTCTGTATAGCCCTGACTATCCTGGAACTTGCTCTATAAACCAGGCTGGCTTTGAACTTGGAGATCTACCTGTCTTAGCCTCTGAAAGCTGGGATTAAATGTGTGCTACCATGGACTGGCAGGAATTTTTACTTTAAAAGGTTGTCCAACAAATAAATCATTTTAAAATGTAGCCTGCCGAGGTGGCATACAACCGCAGTTTCAGTACTTGTTAGGTAGAGGCAGAAGGATAAAGGAGTTCAAGGCCAGGCTGAGCTACATAAGACTATATCAAAATGTTTTTAAATTAATGGCTTAGCGGTTAAAAGCATTGAGGACTTGGGTTTAATCCCCAATACCAACGTAATTCACAACCTTCTATAACTCTGTTCTAGGGAATATGACTCCCTCTTCTGCCCTCCACAGGTACTGCATATATGCTGCAGGTTGTCCACTGAACACCACACCCATGCTGAGACACACACATATATACACATACTAAATAAATATTTTAGTTTGTGTTGTCTTTTATATTGTTTTATTATTTTAAGTGTATACGTGTCACATGTACATATGTCTGTGTAGCACTTGCATGCAGTAGCTACCAAAGCCAAAAGAGGGCATCGAATCTCCTAAAACTGAAGTTACAGATAGCTGTGAGCGGACATGTGGTGTTAGGAATTGAACTTAGGTTATATGTAAGAGCAGCCAGTGCTCTAAGTCATTAAGCCATCTTTCCAGTCCCATATAATATCCATCCATCCTTCCTTCCTTCCTTTCTTTCTTTCTTTCTTTTTTGTTTTTTGTTTTGTTTTGTTTTTTGTTTTTCGAGACAGGGTTTCTCTGTGTAGCCCTGGCTGTCCTGGAACTCACTCTGTAGACCAGGCTGGCCTCAAACTCAGAAATCCACCTGCCTCTGCCTCCCAAGTGTTGGGATTAAAGGAATGTGCCACCACCGCCTGGCATAATATCCTTTCTTAATCTTATTTTTCTATGATCTTGGTAACTGAACCCACCCTCGTGCATGGTAAGGCTATATGCTCTATCACTGATCCATACCTATAGGTCAATAATGTCCTTTGATCACAAACATTTTTAACTTTGATGTAGCATGGTTTATCCTTTTCCATCTAGTGCCTGTTTTCTTGGTGTCACATCTAAGAAATTGTTGTCAAATCCAAGTCTTAAAGCTTTTTTTCCCTGATTTTTATAATTTTTACCTCTTAAATCTTTAGATCGAACAAATTCAAGTCACTTTTTAATTTTTTTTATGGATATAGGTGTTTTGCCTGCATGTATATCTGTGCACCACATATCTACCTGGAGACTATAGAGAACAGAATGCATCAGATTCGTGGAACTTAAGTTACATATGGCTGTGAGCCACCTTGTGGGTGCTGGAAATTGAACCTGGGTCCTCTCAAGGAACATTCAATGATTTTTAACCACTGAGCCATGTCTCAATCCACACTACATGTGTTTTTTTAAAAAAAGAAACAATACACTGCCTAATATGTATTTTAAAAGAAACACATAAGTACAGGTAAGTATAGCTTATTTCAGTCTATCAAAATGTACGATGTTACTATACTGAATACTGGAGGTAACATAATAACCAGCTTTTGTGTATCTAAACAGTTTTTTTTAAACTATCAAAGCATGAACTTGTAAGCAATGTATCATACAATTCTGTTACAATGACCACAATGTAACTAGCATGTTTTAGTTTATAATAATAATCTTATGGAAAAAATTAAAATTTTGTGAGGAAGGAAAAGTATGTGTGGAGGTGTTATGGCCATATCAAAACTGGCCTTTTGCTGATGAAATGGCAAGTTAATCACCATGGAAACTGGTACTAGGCACCTCGGGTTAATTGTAACATTCATCTTTCTTCTTTTTAATACATTAAAATTTTTCTTTTCTTTTCTTGCTTTTTGAAATGCAGTCTTACTAAATGAGCATAGCTAACTTGAAACTCATTATGAACACTGGACTGGCCTGGAACACACAAGGATCTGTCTTGTTCTGCCTTCCAAGTGCTGAGATTGCCTACAACACCACATCTAACCTGAAATTTTCTTTTCTTTTCTTTTCTTTCTCTCCCTCCCCCCCTCTCTCTCTCACTCTCTCTCTTTTCTCTCTCTCTCTCTCTCTCTCTCTCACACTCTCTCTTTCTTTCTTTTCTCTCTCTCTCTCTCTCTTTTTTTTTTT